ACGTCACTCATTTATTGACGACACAGCCTCAGCCTTATTAAGTGACCGGGTATAAAGTTCAGGGTTGAAATTATAACACAAAACGTCACACTCGATATTTTCCGACAATATCCGATTACAACCGACAACGCTCGACAATACCCGACAACTTCCGACAACAGCGGAAATATTCGACAACACCCCACAGCTTCGGAAGACAGTGGAAATACTGACAACATCCGACAACTTTCGACAACTTCCGACAACAGCGGAAATATTCGACAACACCCGACAGCTTCAGACTACAGAGAAAATACTGACAATTACCGACAACTTCCAACAACAATGGAAATACTGACAACATCCGACAACTTCCGACAACAGCGGAAATATTCGACAACACCCGACAGCTTCAGACTACAGAGAAAATACTGACAATTACCGACAACTTCCAACAACAATGGAAATACTGATAACACCGACAACTTCCGACTACAGCAGGAATATCCGACAGAAACTGTCAAATTCCGATATCAGACGTCTTCTTCTTCTTCTTCAAAATAAATAAATAAATAAATAAAAATAAAAAAAAATAATGAAAAAAAAAAACAACAACAACAGAAAACATCATTCACATCTTTAAGTAAAAACGAACTTTAATCAAATAGATGACGTGTTTTAAAGCCAGCAGTAATCAGACAACAATACCAGAATCGTTTACACGCCAAGGGATTAATTTCAGTAACTCTCTCTCCAACCATAATGCTCATGCCGCAATAAACAAAGGTATCACTTCAGTCCAAAGCTAAATATTCCCAATTTTATTTGAATTTTTAATCCCAAAATTCGTTTCCGGCTGGATTTTCTACTGATGGATTTTTTAAAAGTTTTGACAGTGAGCTGTAATCATAGTCCGCCATTGTTGTCTGCAGTTGCGGGACTTTTGAACTTTTGTTTTGAGGGTCGTCTCCCCTGTGGGGTGTCACATGACTCGGTGTGATTCAAGCGTATGGAGCGACGCAGGGCCTAAAGACTGTCTGACAGGGGCGGTAATCCAGGCCTGAGGGATGGATGCACTGACCTCCCTTTTTGTAGGTGGGGAATATTTATACCGTTCATTAACCCTGCTAGTAATTTTATGCCGTGGTTGGCTGTTATTAAAATTTTAAAAAAAAAAAAAAAAAAAAAAAAAAATTAACCATCATTAAAGCCAAATCCCAAATAATTACAAATGCATGAGCGCTTTCAATGCTTTGAAGTAATTGATACTCCTTCAATTACCTGCCCGTCATTAAGTTACTGGCTAGCCGTGGTGTCCTACAATTACCTTATAGCACCGGTGTCCTGATGCTACTTCATACTGTCCTAAAATCTAGCACATCTCCCCCCCCCCAACCCCAGTGATATCATAGCTTGGCTGGTCTTAATTTATTTGAAGCATCATTGTCCTTTACTTGAAGCATCATTGTCCTTTACTTGAAGCATCATTGTCCTTTACTTGAAAGCATAATTGTCCTGCCTTTGCTTGAAAGTATAATTGTACTGTCTTTCCTTGAAAGAATAATTGTCATGCCTTTACTTGAAAGAATAATTGTCCTGCTTTTACTTGAAAGCATAAATGTCCTACCTCTATTTTAAAGCATAAATGTCCTACCTTTATTTGAAAGAATAAATGTCCTACCTTTACTTGAAAGCATAACTGTCCTGCCTTTACTAGACAAGTAAATTTACCCCCACCCAATATAACTTGTTTAAAACGAATTGATAAATTAAACATTGCAAATTCCCCCCCCCCCCCCCTCCTTATTTTTGCTTGTTAAATCTCGTTAATGATATTTGGTCACAAATGTTGCATAGATTGTGCAACACATACCCTGGGGCGCCTTCCTTCATCCCTTCTTTTAGAAACCCGGGTCCAATCTCTCCCACCCCACCCCACCCCACCATCCCCAACTGTTGCCCTTTCCTCACCTCTTTTCGAACACCTGGTACCACCACACCTCGCTCCGTCACACCTTCGAATTCACGCGCCAATTCCAAAATGGCGGCGGTGGAAAGCGCATCCGTTGGTTAATAAAGAAAATTTTTGTGTCTATCTCTCCAACCACAGATTGTCTTTTTGATTCGTGATAATCAAAAATTGCTTTTTCACAACTGGTAATTATCAATATGACATCAGCTAATTACCTTCCACACCACCCCCTTTCCACCAACCGACAACAGAAACTTGCACCTTGTCTCAACGCCCCCTACCCCCACCTCCATATGTTTACAAAACACGTTGGGCTAATTGTCATGGTGACACAAGGTAATTAACTTAAGTCTACATCCGGTTGCTCCGTGGGTCACGTGGCACGCATCTGTCGCGCGCGATGACGCGGCGGGAGCAGAAGTGACACAGTGTTCCAACTGGGTTTCGATCCCCGGGCTAATTATCGCTGGGTGGCTCGGACTGCGCACGGGCTGGGATTGTTTGGATTGTGATTGATTGGGGGGGGTGATTGTTTTAGATTGTGATTGGTGAGAGGGGATGTGATTGTTTATGCGGTGTGCGTTTGTTTGGTAATTGTTTTTGTTGGTTACGGTTGATCTGTTGTTGATTGGATGCAGTTATTTAGGTGGGGGAGGGGGAAGGGGGGAAGGGGGCGGGGTTTCCAATTACATATTGTCAAGCGATTTTTTACTATTTTTACAGCCTTGAATGGTAGAGCTGACCACACAATCCCTTCACATGTCTAGCAGAGTTTCTTCCAGGCATCTCTTCGGGGGGGCTTTGCCCCCCCGAAAATTTTTTACCGCCCCCCCCGAACGGAATGAAATGTATATAATTTATATAGAAAATATATACTTTTAACAGTGTCCGCCCCCCCGAAGAAAGTTTACCGCCCCCCCCCGAAAATTTCAAGTGTCCCCCCCGGAGAAAAAAGTCTGGAAGAAACACTGATGTCTAGGTCAAGGAGGATTAACCTTTATATTTCTCTTCTATCAATTCTAATAATACCACACAGACAGGCACAAACACACACACAAATACACATATATATGTATATATAAATATATATATATATATATATATATATATATATATATATATATATATATATATATATATATATATATATATATAGAGAGAGAGAGAGAGAGAGAGAGAGAGAGAGAGAGAGATGACAAAAGTGCTGATGTCCCATTTCCTAACCTACGTCTCCCATAGTCATACCTGCTTACGTCATTCCGCCTTTGTCATCATGACGTCATTAACGAGCTTTCACTTTAGTTGTGACTGTTGGGATTAGGATTGTTTGGGATATGATTGGTTGGGACATGATTGTTTGGGATATGATTGTTTGAGATATGATTGTGATATGATTGTTTGTGATATGATTGTTTGTGATATGATTGTTTGTGATATGATTGTTTGTGATATGATTGTTTGTGATATGATTGTTTGTGATATGATTGTTTGTGATATGATTGTTTGTGATATGATTTTTTTGTGATATGATTGTTTGTGATATGATTGTTTGTGATATGATTGTTTGTGATATGATTTTTTGTGATATGATTGTTTGTGATATGATTGTTTGTGATATGATTGTTTGTGATATGATTGTTTGTGATATGATTTTTTTGTGATATGATTGTTTGTGATATGATTTTTTTGTGATATGATTGTTTGTGATATGATTGTTTGTGATATGATTGTTTGTGATATGATTGTTTGTGATATGATTGTTTGTGATATGATTTTTTTGTGATATGATTGTTTGTGATATGATTTTTTGTGATATGATTGTTTGTGATATGATTGTTTGTGATATGATTGTTTGTGATATGATTGTTTGTGATATGATTTGTTTGTGATATGATTGTTTGTGATATGATTGTTTGTGATATGATTGTTTGTGATATGATTTGTTTGTGATATGATTGTTTGTGATATGATTGTTTGTGATATGATTGTTTGTGATATGATTTTTTTGTGATATGATTGTTTGTGATATGATTGTTTGTGATATGATTGTTTGGTATATGATCGTTTGGGTGCAGCAGTCCGAGATACCACTGTTTATGTAAAGATAGTTTGAGTTCTAACAATTTGGTGTGCGCTAGTCTAGCAGTATAAAAGCCAGTCTCTCACAATGCGTTTTGATTGTACATACCATCTCCGATTTCTTAAAAATATTTGTTTAAAAATAATTTCTACTTACAAATTTATATACAGTTGTTGTTTATTTTTTTTTTCTTGTTTATAATTTACCCAACAAACTAAATATCTTCATTTTGAAGAGAAATTTTAATTTACCAACATGAATTTTTTTTAATTCAATTTTTTTAGTAGTCTACTATATTTTAAAAGTATTTTCCATTTTTGATAAATTTAATGTTTAAAATTTTTAGATTGAATCTTTAAATTCATGTATGTATTAAATTTTTGTTTTACCAAGTAAGTTTGAAGTTTTACTTACTAAAAGTTTCGATACACAAATTGAAATTAATTTCTATTTACCCAGAAAGTTATGTAAAATACTGTTAGAATGTTTTTCTCAAATATGAAAAATTGACCAGTTTTTTGTATATATTCTTATTTACCGAAAAATTGTAGATTTACTAAAATATATGCTATTCAATTTTTTTTTATATTTATCGAAAATGTTTTGTATTTACCGAAATGTTTAGACTAATACCTGATCTACCAAGATACCGCCAAGAATGTTTTCTGCACGATGACACGGCTCCGCCACTGCCCCCCCTCCCCCGCCCCCCGCAGTCCAACCCCCCACCGCCATCTCACTCCTCCCAAGAGCATGTTTGATCGCCCACCCCCCGGGTCCCTCCCTCCCCTCCCCCGCTATCATAGCTGACGATTAAAATCCAATATTTATTATTAGCTTGAAGAAGATTCTTTCAGGTTGCCCGTGTGACGTCACATCCGCTCGCCACAGGACGGCCTCTCGGAGCTGACACTCACGGCCGTTATCCAGCCTTCCCAGGAGGCACCGCCCAGCCGGCTCGCTTTGTCATTGGTCGAGCCAGGCCGGCACGACAGGCGCGCGTGCCGGGAGGTTGAGTAAAGCTGATTAATTGCGACTTTGTCGCGGGCAAAGTGAATTAACAGAGGGCGGCTCGGCGCTCATAATCGCTTTGAAATGCTTGTCACAACACCAGGCCGGGTGTGGTAGTTGCAGTGGTGGCCGTCAGGATTCAGTCTAGAACTACAGCGGGGTCCACGACACGCCGGACGACTCTGGTTTGGAGATTTTTGTTTTTCAGAAAGAAAAAAAATTACGGAACAAAAGAAGATCACCAAAAAGAAAAAACGCAGAACCGGAAACTGATCTTTGACTGTGCGGACGTCAGGAAGGATAACCCAAGACATCGAGAGTGCCAGAGATTGTGACTGTGGTATTCGTTTTTGTGTGCCGGTCGTTCTTGTGTGGCGGTCAATCTTGTGTGGCGATCATTCTTCCGTTTCTTATTCGAGAATTCGCTTTGTGTTTTTAAAGAAACAGCCGAGCTTGATTTATTGCCAGCTATCCTCATTGCCATCAAATGGTCATTTAACCGGTAAGTTTTGGTCATATTTTTAAAACAATTATGTTCTTGTTTATCATCCCAGTATATAATTCAAGCGTACTGTACAACTAAAATGTTGATCTACTGTTTAGCTGGGCCGCGATCACAATGAGTTGAAGCCGGTATTTATCAAATTTCGGTACAGTGATTGATATTCTGAACAAAATAAAATAATCGTCATTTAACAAGTTATTTAGAAATTCCTTTTAATCAATGTTATTCTTCAATCCGTATCTTTTAGTGATGATATTCTGAACAGTTTAACGTCATGGTTATTTAACAAGTTATTTAAATCTTCATTTTAATTCTTGTTGTTCCTAGTTCCCTATATTTTAATGATGATATTCCGAACAATATAAAGTCGTAATATTTTAACGCGTTATTTCGATTTTCCTGTTAATGCATGTTATTCTTTATTCTTTATCATTCTATTAACTTAGCTAAAAGACATAATAGATCATTTAATGTTTGCTGGCTTTCATAAGCAAACTAAACTATCGTCGAAAGTACAAAGCTAATTTTCATCAACTCTGTTAGTTTTTATGATCGGCAGTGTTACAATGCTTTCAACAACTCCGTTATTTCTATAATCGTCAACTCTGTTATTTTCTATAATCATCAACTCTGTTATTTTCTATGATCTTCAATCTTGCAATGCTACTTTCAACAACTTTGTCAGTTTCTATAATCTCCAATCTTACAACTGTAATATTCCTCAACTCTGTTAGTTTCTATAATCTTTAATCTTGCAATTTTATTATTAATCAGCCCTATTAGTTTCTAGAATCTCAATCTTACAATGCTACTATTCATCAACTCTGTAAGTCTCTATGAATTAACTGAGCGTCAAGTTTGCTGTTCAGGAAGTTCTCAGATATAATTAGCCAGAAAAATTAAGCACAATTGTTATTGAAGCATCAGCCTCGACATTAGCAAGCTCCGAGCAAGATCAAGAATTAATTGATTCTAATCTGATCATGTCCGTATTGTTTTTTTTTTCATCCAGACAAACAATTATTTTAGCGACAGGTTCATCATTATCTTAACGGGGTGCTCTTTTATTTATACTAGAAAATATATTTTTTTTTCTATTTTATACGCATATATATATTATATACATATATAAAACAATATATATATATATATATATATATATATATATATATATATATATATATATATATATATATATATATATATATATATATATATATATATATATATATATATATATATATATATATATATATATTGATATATACACACACATATACATATATAAATTATATATATATATATATATATATATATATATATATATATATATATATATATATATATATATATATATATATAACACAAAGATATTCATTATATGTATTTGAAATTTTAGTTTTATTTATCTTTTTCAATTATATATATATATATATATATATATATATATATATATATATATATATATATATATATATAATTCACATTTATATATATATATATATATATATATATATATATATATATATATATATATATATATATATAATCACGTTATATAGGAGAGTACCCTTTCGAACGTAACGGTCCATGGGTTTCAGTGACCTCGGCATATAAAGGGATAGTGTTGTCAGCACAATGCGCCTAAGTAAAGTACTAGTACTATACATACCTCTGTAGCCTATATAATATTAACAATCTTGTATTAATATATTTTTAAATATTGGTCTTTAAACTGTAGAGCAGCCAGATAAAAAGAAGAAAAAATTAGAGTAAACATATATATATATATATATATATATATATATATATATATATATATATATATATATATATATATATATATATATATATATATATATATATATATATATAAAACATTTTGTATGGCCTCAGTGCTGTCTGGGTAGCTGACATGGGTGGCGTATAAAAAAGATCTAATGATATACATGTTTACTGGGCCCGCAAGCACAGGGCAAATGGTTTGTTTACATGTTTCAAGAACGGTAATTTTACACTTTCCAAGGGAGATGACAATAGAGAGTTATCAGACATGAATGACAGACAATACAATCTAAGACAGGGTTAGTTAGTCCGGAAAAATACAGTGTTTTAAGATTGATGAACTTGTTCATGACTCTTATATTACTGGTAACTTCATTTCCAGTTGTATTGATGGCAAAATCATCTGAAGTTATATTGATGGTAACATAATTTCTATTTATATTAATGGTAACACCATCTCCAGTTGTATTGATGGTGACATTATCTTCGGTTGTATTAATGGTAATATCAACTGAAGTTATATGGATGATGACATTATCTGACGTTTTATTAAAGGTAACATCATCCCCAGTCATAGTGATGGTAACAATTTGGTGTATGCTAGTCTAGCAGTATGATCACCCATCGTCCACTATTCCCGTGACTTGTCTATCAGGCTCACCACCCTACGTTCGAGCAAGATCTTTACACATGAGTCTCCATAGCAAGTCCTCATCTCTAACTTGTCCATGTTACTCGTCTCAAAATCTCATCACAGACTTATCCCAAATCTTATCCCAGACTTATCCCAAATCTTATCCCAGACTTATCCCAAATCTCATCCCAGACTTATCCCAAATATCATCCCAGACTTATCCCAAATCTTATCCCAGACTTATCCTAAATATATCCCATACTTATCCCACATCTCATCTCAGACTTATCCCATATTTCATCACATACTTATCACAAAATCCCATCCCATACTTATTCCAAATCTCATCCCATTCTTATCCCAATATCAGATCCCAGACTTATATCAGATCTCATCTCAATCTCATTCCACACTTATCCCCCATATCTCATCACAGACTTGTGCGGGGTCATATCCCAGTTATCCCAGTTATTTATTGAAATACTCACACTTCATTCGCAGCATATATATCCAAGCTCCTATCCCTAAACATCGTTGTTTACTGATAATCGTATAGACCTTTTCTCTACCCAGCTCCTTCGCCTGATACTTGCTGAGCCAATGTCTATCCCTGTTCTACCGATGTCCTACTCCTACTCTAGTAATGTCCTACCCTGCCCTTCAATGCCCAACCCTTTAGCAAGGACCTACCTCTTGCCCTACCAAAGTCCTACCCCTGCACTACCAATGTCCTACCTCCTCCCCTACCAATGTCCTACACCCCCTACCAATGTCCTACCCCTAACCCTACCACTGTCCCCTCCCTCTAATATCCCTCGAGACTTTAATTCTATTGTCACGTGATCAGTTGCAACCAATCAATTACTAGATGTAGCTAGGAGAAATCGAATTATCTGTATATTACCATTTGAGTTTTTGTCCCCAAACGCAAATTCGATTTACATCAGAAATTAATGGATTCAACGTTCTAATCAATTTACTGGAAATTCTCCTGAACTTTGGCTCTATTTGAAGTTCTGGAAAATTTGAGCTCTACTGGAAGTTCTAAATTTTGGCATCATGAACGTCATTGTAAACGTTTTTCTCCATTGAAGGTTCTAAATTTTTGCTTCGTGGACGTTATTGTAAACTTTTGTTCCATTGAAGCTTCTAAACTTTTGGCTACATGGACGTCATTGTAAACTTTTGCTCCATTGAAGGTCCTAAATTTTGGCTAAATGGACGTCATTGTAAACTTTTGTTCCATTGAAGCTTCTAAACTTTTGGCTAAATGGACGTCATTGTAAACTTTTGCTCCATTGAAGGTTCTAAACTTTTGCTTCGTGGACGTCATTGTAAACTTTTGTTCCATTGAAGCTTCTAAACTTTTGGCTACATGGACGTCATTGTAAACTTTTGCTCCATTGAAGGTCCTAAATTTTGGCTAAATGGACGTCATTGTAAACTTTTGCTCCATTGAAGGTCCTAAATTTTGGCTAAATGGACGTCATTGTAAACTTTTGCTACATTGAAGGTCCAAACTTTTGGCTAAATGGATGTCATTGTAAACTTTTGCTATATTGAAGGTCCTAAATTTTTGCCACATGGACGTTATGGTAAACTTTTGCTACATTGAAGGTCCTAAATTTTTGCCACATGGACGTTATGGTAAACTTTTGCTCCATTAGAGGCTCTAAACTTTAGCTTTATTAACGTTATGATAAACTTTAGCACATTAGAGGTTCTAAGCTTTGGTTACAAAGACGTTATAGGAAACTTTTGCTTCTCTTGAGCTACCTTGGAGGTTCTAGAAGACTTTGACTCAACTGTGAGTTCTGTTTAGCTACGAAAGGTTTTGATAAAATTTAGTTCCATTGTAGGTTATGGTAAAATTTGGTTCCGTTGTAGTTTTGGTACAATTTGACTATATTGTAGGTTATGGTAAAATTTGGTTCCGTTGTAGTTTTGGTACAATTTGATTATATTGTAGTTTTGGTAAAATTTGATTTTATTGTAGTTTTGGTAAAAATTATTTTATTGTAGGTTCTGATAAACTTTGAGTCCATGGAAATACTACGGTGATTTCCTCCAACACAATTAAGTATTACGTGTCAACATATTATGCGTCATATGACTCCGAATTCAACCTTCTTTTTTTTATCTAGATTTGCTTCCATAGTCTTTGTCCACTCAATAACAAACTACAAGTCAGCAGTTGTTTAAAGTTGGAGTTTTCTCCCCTAGATAGAATACTATCCCCAGCTGTCGAGCCTCATTAGCTCAGGGGTTCGAACTCGAGACTTTTGGAATTAGAAGCCATGAGCTCTCCAGTCTGACCACGCCGTCCCATTTTTCTGCTATATTTTTCTTTTTTTCCGTTCGTGCCCAAGACACATGGGCAGATGAAGTAGAGTTCACTTTTTTTCAGTGACATCGGCATATGAAGAGATAGTGTGTTTAACACTATGCCGAACCACCTTTATATTCTCTAACGGGAGTTAGGTACCCATCAGAGCTGGGTGAACTCAGTGACAATCTACTGACTTTCGGGTTAGTAGTCTAACGTTCTACCGCTCGGCCACGCGTCCCTATTTTATACTATGTTGACACATTTTTTAAGTTTTAACATTTCATACAAAGCAGTAATCGTTGTCATTTATCCATAAATTACGTGGTATTATCAGGAAATAAATAAATAATACAAATCAACTTTACCTTAAAAATGTTTTTTTTCTATTTCTTTGTTCATTTGCCTGTGGCTACTTTTTGATGAGTTTTCTTAAATTTAATTTTGATTAAGATCGTTTGAAATTCTGCCATATATATATATATATATATATATATATATATATATATATATATATATATATATATATATATATATATATATATATATATATATATATATATATATATATATATATGTATATATATTCTTGTATTTCTATCTCCCGCCAGAAAACACTGACGATGTTTTGCTTCCACTGCCCTCCAAGTTTTCACCCGACAGGTCGACCTTTGACCTTGGATTACCCGTGCCCGACACACCCCTCATGTAAGTTACCTTTGTTTTGAGTACCTTTACTTTGTGTGGTTATCTAATTATTTTTGTTTTTAACGTTTGTTTTATCTATTCACACTACTCACTCTTAAATACGATATAATTTAAAAAAATTATGTATGCATTCATTCATTCTTCAAATATAAAAAAACTTTAAACATTAGTTATAATTATAAATGGAAATTCTTTAAAGTATTTTAAATTAAACTAAAAAAAATCCCTTTTAAAACTCAATGTAGTATTCAATATAAATAAAACTGAACACTTTTCAAAAACAGCATACACTTTCTATAACTAGAATAAAATTAGCACAGTAAGGAAATAATCTATTGAAAATGCTTTAAATATTGTATAATTTCTTTTAATTAAAGGACTCCTCCCCCCCCCCAAGAGTCTCGCCCACCCCCTCCATGTCCACAGGAGGTCGTTAATAAATAACGTCAAACATGTTAAACATAATTTAGCCACCACCCCCTGTGTTCTCAAAAACATCCCCCCCCCCACCGTCCCTTTAAATCGGCGTCACTCAGATCATTTTCTAGTACCAAATAACCAGTCTGAACACAAAATAATAATGTTAAATCTTTTTGTTATTAAAATGCTTATTAATGAATGCTACATTACATTTGTTTCGAGGTTTAATACATAACCTACTAAATTGTGTGTATGTATATATAGTATATATATATATATATATATATATATATATATATATATATATATATATATATATATATATATATATATATATATTTATATTACTTTATCGGAATTTTTATTTCAATTCTAACCTTTGACACCACCCCAACCTCCACCATATATTATTACCGTAAAATACCTAAAATAACGTATGTGAAATCTGGACGACAATCTCAAAAGAAAATTTCCCGTCAAGTTCAGAGTATTTTTTTGTTTACAAAATTAGGAGCTATCAACGTGACAAAGGCTTCATTAATATTAATAACGTCACTCTAATTAAGAAGGCGAAAATATGTTTTATTAATTACCACCAAACGCTATTGTTTGTCTTTTTTGTTTAATTTAACCTAAAGTTGTCTGAAAATATTTTGTCAGTTAATGTGAATATTTTGTCAAGTTTTACGCCCAATGTCAAGTTTGATTGTCAAGTTGGTGATTTTTATTTGATGCATGTCGGGGTATAAAATATGGCAGAGTCAAATTTAAATTACGTCATGCAATTGCTGCTTCTCCCCCCCTTCCCCACTGCCAGGGCGCGGCTTGTGGTAAAAATGTAATTTTCTTCCTTTATTTCTTCAGTTTTGATTAGACCCCCTCCCCCCCCCCCCCCCATACACCACATAAATAATATACTATTATGAAATACAATTTATAAATTTATTTTATAATTTAACAACAAATATAATTTATGGCTTGCGGTAAAACATTATTCTTTAAAGAGAAGCATTTTAGAAAAAAAATGTTTTAAGGTATACACATTTTCAAGGTATTATTTTTTTAAAGAAAAAAGACATTGCTTCTCCTAAGCGTTTTCAATATTGTAAATTTTAAAAAAATCAAAGGTAATAATTTGAAAAGGGTTAATCCAAAGTTTAAAATTACATCTAGATTTCTAGTTATTTTTTAAAAGATCAAAAGTAATAATTTGACAATCGTTAATCTAAAATTTAAAACTTTATCTAGTTAATTTAAAAAAAAAATCAAAAGTAATAATTTGACAACCGTTAATCTAAAAACTATATCTAGTTAATTCTTTTGGTGCTACTCGTCGTTCACTTATCTCAAGACCTTACATATAACCTTAACCAAACCCCGTAAATCTTGGTCCTAACCCTAATTGTGATTTAAGTATTGACACAAAACCAAAATGGTAACATTGCCCGTAACAAAATAAATAAATAAATTTCGATATTTTACCGTGAGGTCGAATGGGAGTTTTATATTATAATTTTCATTTTTTTTGTAACAAAAAAACAAACACATCCGGGTGTTAAGCGAATCAGCTGACGAAAAGTCTAATTATAGAACTGATTGTGTCTCTCACGTGGTCTGCTGCCCGTGTGTGCAGGTGTTGTGTCACCAGTTTCACTGTTGCCTCACTCCTCACACCAGTCGCGCCGTTGTCTAACCTATCAGATCCACATCTCACCTTTGTTTCACCTTTGTCTCACCTTTGTTTCACTCTTGTCTCACCCATTGTCTCACCATAGCCACACTTTTCTCACCTGTCACATGATTTTCTCCACCATGTCTCACCCTGTCTCATCCCTTGTCTCACCAATGTGTTTCTCCCCAGTCACCCTTATCCCACCCTGTCTTACCTCTTGTATCAACCCTGTCTCATCATTGCTTCATTGTTTTCTTCCCAGTGTTATTGATGTCTCTCCCTTTTGAATCGTTCTAGTTTCATCCTCGTGTCACCCTTGTCTCAATAGGCCTATCTTTGTCTCACCCTAAAATTACCCCGATGTACCACTGTCGGCTTTTCTTAGCAACTACCTTACCCCTAGTGTGAGGACTGTCTCACCCTTGTCTCACCCCTGGTCTCACCTTTGTCCCACGTGTCTCACCACTTTTTCACCAATTTCTCACTCTCGTCTCACCTTTGTCCCACGTGTCTCACCACTTTTTCACCCATTTCTCACTCTCGTCTCACCCCTCGTCTCACCCCTCGTCCCACCCCTACAGACCCTTGTCTCACCCTCGTCTCACCCTCGTCCCACCCCTCGTCTCACCCTCGTCTCACCCTTGTCCCACCCTCGTCCTACCCTCGTCTCACCCTCGTCTCACCCTTGTCTCACCCCTCGTCCCACCCCTACAGACCCTTGTCTCACCCTTGTCTCACCCTCGTCTCACCCCTCGTCTCACCCTCGTCTCACCCTTGTCCCACCCTCGTCCTACCCTCGTCTCACCCTCGTCTCACCCTTGTCTCACCCCTCGTCCCACCCCTACAGACCCTTGTCTCACCCTTGTCTCACCCTCGTCTCACCCCTCGTCTCACCCTCGTCTCACCCTTGTCTCACCATCGTCTCACCCTTGTCTCACCCTCGTCTCACCCTACAGATCCAGGTTACGGTCTCCACTCCGACCTACACGACGAGGCGTTCGCCCGACGTAAACAAAGACGCAACAGAACGACCTTCACCCTTCAGCAGGTGAGTTGGTGATGTCACAGCTGTCTGTGGATGGCCCGGGGGGTGGGGGGTCGGGGGGGGTCGGGTTGATTTGACAAGGTAAGGGGTGAAAAACTGAATTAGGTAATTAATCAGATAAACTTTATAGATGTATCAATCCAATGGGGGTGAGGGGTGTGTTTGTGGGGGGGGGGGGGGGAGGGAGGGGGGTAGAACAATGCAATCGATACAATTCATTTACTATGTGACAAACCTGGGGAATCTGGGTGACAACTTCATTGGTTACTAATTATAGAATCCGGGGCAATCACAGAACCAATAGTTTATTTTACAGCCACTAAAAATACGAGATTTTGATTCCAGGCAACTGTTGGTAAACTGATGGCAAGTTAATTAAAATAATGTTATTGCATAGTTAATTATAGTAGTTACGTGGCACATTTAATTAAAGTAGTTAAGGGTCATAGTCATAGTTAAATGATGTAGTTATATTGCATAGTTAATTAAAGTAGTTTTGTGGTATAGTTAATTAAAGTAGTACTATTGCATAGTTAAAGTAGTTTTGTGGTATAGTTCATTAAAGTAGTTATATTGCATAGTTAATTAAAGTAGTTTTGTGGTATAGTTCATTAAACTAGTTCTATTGCATAGTTAATTAAAGTAGTTTTGTAGCATAGTTCACTAAAGTAGTTATATTGTATAGTTAATTAAAGTAGTTTTGTGGTATAGTTTATTAAAGTAGTTCTATAGCATAGTTATTTAAAGTAGTTTTGTAGCATAGTTCATTAAAGTAGTTCTATTGTATAGTTAATTAAAGTAGTTTTGTGGTATAGTTTATTAAAGTAGTTCTATAGCATAGAGTATTTATATGGCACTGTTAATTAAAGTAGTTTTGTGGTATAGTTAATTAAAGTAGCTCTATTGTATATTACATTAAAGCAGTTATGTGGTACAGTCAATTAATGTAGTTCTATGGCATATGTAATTAAAATAGTTATTTTGCATAGTTAATTAAAGTAGATATATGGTATAGTTAATTAGACTTGTTAAGTAGTTCTGGTTTTTGTTAACAATTCATAGAGGGTGGGGGCGTGGCGTCATGATTATCAATGTAAAGTTTAGGTTTAAAGTTAAGGTTCGGATCATAGTGTGGAGATATAGATTACAAGTCAAGTATTATATGTATAATAGAATGAATGCCAAGTATTATGAGTATAATAGGGTGAATGCCAAGTATTATAAGTATAATAGGGTGAATGCCAAGTATTATAAGTAAAATAGGGTGAATGCCAAGTATTATAAGTATAATAGGGTGAATGCCAAGTATTATAAGTATAGTAGGGTGAATGCCAAGTATTTTAAGTATAATAGGGTGAATGCCAAGTATTATAAGTATAATAGGGTGAATGCCAAGTATTATAAGTATAATAGGGTGAATGCCAAGTATTATAAGTATAATAGTGGGAATGCTAAGTTTTATAAGTATATTATGGTGAATGCCAAGTATCAGAGGCGTAGCGAGGGGGGATGCGGACCGCACCGGGTGACACCATTTAGGGAGTTGACACCAAGGCAAAAAGTAGCAAAATATATAGAGAAAAATGATAATTCCAGTTAATTAAGTGATTAATTCGAGTGTTAAATAGTCGTTTAAGAGGTGCAAATCGAAAGTTTGAGGGGGGGGGGGGGGTGCAAATCGAAAGTGTGAAGGGGGGTGGAAAATCGAGAGGTTAAGGGGGGAGGCAAATTGAAAATTGAAATTAAGTGCCGCACCGGGTGACAACCGACCTCGCTACGCCACTGCCAAGTATTATAAGTATAATATGGTGAATGCTCAGTATTATAAGTATAAAAGGGTGAATACAGTCTAATATATTGGACAAAGAGCCCTCTGAAATGTATTACACCATCGAAAAAGCGCAACTTATTTTTACACAACTGCATACAATAGGTTGTCAATTTATTATTTGATATTTCCTACAAAATTTACAACAACAAAAAAGAATACAGGCCTAAAATGTTGTTGTATGCTTGTGCCAGTGGTTAATTCACCATGCGGCGAATTAGCCTTTCAGTGGTTAGTTAATTCACAGTTCGTTGAATTAACCATTTAAAAATGACAGAGCCTAGGCGGGGGACAAAAATTAACTCGCCAGGCAATACACGAACTTAATTTTAATTTTTTTCTCCCGACCCCCACCCCCCACCGACGCCCAAAATTAAAGTCATAACAACACAAAACGGTCTAAAAATAGCCGAGAAGTCACCCACCATAGCTGTGGTGAAACGAAGCGAAAGGGAAGCTTCAGAGAGCCCTTCCAAAAACACGATGGGGGGACAGGGCTGACTGGGCCCTCCCACAGGAAGTGTCAGCTTTCAAAGAGTGCAAATTAATGAACACCCTCCATAATTGATGAGATAATCTTTCAATTATTGCTAGCTTTTTCTGGGGGTCGTGGGGCGTCGTTAGGTTTTCTGCCTTCTGTGTCAGATATCATAGCACACACTAACCAACACGCTCGTATAGATACTATAATACTTATATATATATATATATATATATATATATATATATATATATATATATATATATATATATATATATATATATATATATATATATATATATAAAAATATATATATATATAAAGGCATATATATATATATATATATATATATATATATATATATATATATATATATATATATATATATATATATATATATATATATATATAATTTGTGTACATTGATTATTACAAACTTACATGTGTATATTTTTTACATCTGGACAGAGTACCCATGCATAATATACACACACACAAACACACACACACACACACACATATATATATATATATATATATATATATATATATATATATATATATATATATGATAGGTTTATTTATATATGTGTATATATATATGTGTATGTGTCTGTGCATGTGTGTATGTGTGTAAATGTGTTTGTGTGTGTAAATTAGACCATTAAATGAACTATTATTTTAAAAATACAAAGCTGTATTGAATGGGGTAGATGGGAAATTTAGAAAAGAATGGAGGGGGAGGGGGTAGTGGAAGAGTTATTGTCACCGAGGGATGCAGCAGTAGTTAACGGGTAATGTCCCCTGTATTAACACACCAGGGTTATAGCCCTTCAGTCAAAGCTGTCAAACTGTCCCCCTCCCCCCATAACACTCCCCCTCCACCCCACTACCCCTGCCCTTTGTGCATTAGGCATCCACGTGTGAAATTGAAGACGGTCACAACTGTTCCGACCATACGGCGAGCCGGGGGTTGCAGCCATTGTTTCATTTAATTATCTCCCCTTAATCGTCGCAGTAATAAACTCGCTGGTGTCCCCTGTTGTTGTTTTTTATTTTTATGCCCTAGTCGACGCGTGTTATGACCTTTCCACCCCAGCGGTCGGCAACCAATCCGGTGTTTACCCTGGCACGCGATGAACAACTACGTCATTAGTACCCCCCGTCTGGTAAATAGAACATAACTCGAAATGAAATTTTGAAAAACCGACTGGATCTTTACTGTTGGTTACGGTACATTATCTCCCTTGGATGCGGGTGAATTATTCACCCCTGACATTCGCTTTATTTAGTGGCAGATATTTTTTTTTTCTTATAATTTAGACAAGACTGTTATTAAGCATGTCGTTATTTATACGTTATATGACATACGACATTACTTAGATATAACAATTGGATGTGTGACATTATGTCTATTTGCATGATCTCTCACTCTCTCTCTCTCTCTCTCTGTATATATATATATATATATATATAATATATATACGTGTGTGTTTATATATATAAATATATATATATATATATATATATATATATATATATATATATATATATTTATATTTATATACATATACATACATATATATATACATATATATATATATATATATATATATATATATATATATATATATATATATATATATATTTATATTATATATATATATATATATATATATATATATATATATATATATATATATATATATATATATATATATATATATATATATATATATATATATATATATATATATATATAATGGCGTGAGTCTGTTTGTGTTTGTGTATGTATGACATTTCTTATGACATTTTTAACCTCTTGATGTTAATAATTGGTAAAATGATAACAGTTAGTTAAGAACCTTTTAGATATTAAGTGTTTGTTACAATATTGTTTAAAAAAAGCTGGAACGAATGCTATCACTATCAGCGTCATTTTGATTGGTCATTGAATGTTTGTGACCAAACGGTAGAATGATTGTGACTGGCTGCGTGTCAGAGGTTAAAGGTTATTCCAAATTGGTGGTACTTTCTGACCCGGCTGACTTGGTTTCGATCCCACAGCTCGAGGAGCTGGAGAAAGCTTTTGCCCAGACCCACTACCCGGATGTTTTCATGCGGGAGGACCTGGCCATGAGGATTAACCTGACGGAGGCGAGAGTACAGGTGAGTACAGATTAAGATTATCTAATGAGGTCACATGTGAGTACAGATTAAGATTATCTAATAAGGTCACAGGTGAGTACAGCTTAGCTAGAGATTATCTAATGAGGTTACAGGTGAGTACAGCTTAAGATTATCTAATGAGGTCACAGGTGAGTACAGCTTAAGATTATCTGATAAGGTCACAGGTGAGTACAGCTTAGCTAGAGATTATCTGATGAGGTCACAGGTGAGTACAACTTAGCTAGAGATTATCTGATGAGGTCATAGGTGAGTACAGATTAAGATTATCTAACGAGGTCACATGTGAGTACAGATTAAGATTATCTAATGAGGTCACAGGTGAGTACAGCTTAAGATTATCTGATAAGGTCACAGGTGAGTACAGCTTAGCTAGAGATTATCTGATGAGGTCACAGGTGAGTACAGCTTAGCTAGAGATTATCTGATGAGGTCATAGTTGAGTACAGCTTAAAATTATCTAATGAGGTCACAGGTGAGTACAGATTAACTAGAAATCATCTGATGAGGTCATAGTTGAGTACAGCTTAAGATTATCTAATGAGGTCACAGGTGAGTACAGCTTAGCTAGAGATTATGTAATGAGGTCACAGGTGAGTACAACTTAAGATTATCTAATAAGGTCACAGGTGAGTACAGATTAGCTAGAGATTATGTAATGAGGTCATAGTTTAGTACAGCTTAAGATTATCTAATGAGGTCACAGATGAGTTAGCTAGAGATTATCTAATGAGGTCACAGGTGAGTACAGCTTAGCTAGAGATTATCTGATGAGGTCAAAGGTGAGTTCAGCTTAGCTAGAGATTATCTAATGAGGTTACAGGTGAGTACAGCTTAAGATTATCTGATGAGGTCAAAGGTGAGTACAGATTAGCTAGAGATTATCTGATATGGTCATAGTTGAGTACAGCTTAAGATTATCTAATGAGGCACAAGTGAGTACAGCTTAAGATTATCTAATAAGGTCACAGGTAAGTACAGCTTAGCTAGAGATTATCTAATGAGGTCATAGTTGAGTACAGCTTAAGATTATCTAATGAGGTCACAGGTGAGTACAGATTAGCTAGAGATTATCTGATGAGGTCATAGTTGAGTACAGCTTAAGATTATCTAATGAGGTCACAGGTGATTTAGCTTAGCTAGAGATTATCTAATGAGGTCACAGGTGAGTACAGCTTAAGATTATCTAATGAGGTCACAGGTGAGTACAGCTTAGCTAGAGATTATCTAATGAGGTCACAGGTGAGTACAGCTTAGGGTGAGATTAACTAATGAGGTCAGCACTATGCCCAGCCGCCCATGCTTCCCCCAAATTAAATCAGGTACCCTCAGACCAGGGTGGACTCAGTGACGTCCTACAGTCCGAACCGAGATCCGAACTCGAAACCATCAGGTTAGCATCCAAAGCTCTACCAGTCAGCCATGACGTCCCTATATATTTATGTACCTAAGGAAAAATCTTAAAAAGTTGTATAATAAAAGGAAATAACTAATGGCTCCTTATCAAAGAGAAAAACGTAATAGTCCAATTACAAAGTGGAAAATAAAATGATTCAATCTAGAACGAATTTGATATTTTCGCTCTTTTTACTTTCTCGTATATACGTAGTATAGAGAAAGTATTGTAATCGTGCAAAAAAAAAAAAATCGAGATTTTTACAAATCTCGACGTTTTACACCTCACTGATACGAAAAAACATAATTTTGCAATCTTGTCCGTATGTCTGTGTGTGTGTGTGTGTGTGTCTGTGTGTCTGTGTGTCCGTGTGTAAACACGATAACTTGAGTACCGTTACAGCTAGGTTGATGAAATTTCATATATAAGTATTATATCAAAATCGTAGATCCGTATCAACTTTTGAGCGATTTCCGACAACCGGAAGTGGTACTTTTTCTACTTTGAATTTTTCAAAAGCCTATAACTTGAGTACTATTTCAGATAGATAAATGAAATTTCACATGTAAGTAAAAGATCTAATTCTCTACCTTCTGTTAAATTTTGAGTAATTTCCGTTGACCGGAAGTAGTAATTTACGCTACTTCCGATTTCTCAAAAAACTAATGTAAATTTTTAAAGTACTAATAATATTGCGCACTATTACGCACATTTGGTTTTGGTGCTAGCTTGGTGCGCATTTTTTTTCTACTAGATTTTATTCTATTTTTAAAAGTTTAAGTAAACAAAAATCATGTCTATATTCCGAGTTGACATCCCACGTAGTGTTATATTAGAATATTCGAGAAAGTTTAGTGGAGATCACTCCCGGTTTATTTACTTTCTCGTATATACGAAGTATAGAGAAAGTATTGTAATCGTGCAAAAAAAATCGAGATTTTTACAAATCTCGACGTTTTACACCTCACTGATACGGAAAAAACGTGATTTTGCAATCTTGTCCGTATGTCTGTGTGTGTGTGTGTGTGTGTGTGTGTGTGTGTGTGTGTCTGTGTCTGTGTGTCTGTGTGTAAACACGATAACTTGAGTACCGTTACAGCTAGGTTGATAAAATTTCATATATAAGTATTTTATCAAAATCGTAGATCCGTATCAACTTTTGATCGATTTCCGATAACCGGAAGTGGTACTTTTTCTACTTTGAATTTTTAAAAAGCCTATAACTTGAGTACTATTTCAGATAGATAAATGAAATTTCACACGTAAGTAAAAGATCTAATTCTCTACCTTCTTTCAAATTTTGAGTAATTTTCGTTGACCAGAAGTACTAATTTACGCTATTTCCGATTTCTCAAAAAACGCATGTAAATTTATAAAGTACTCATAATAATGCGCACTATTATGCACATTTTATTAGGCGTTCACTTGGTGTGCAATTTTTTTTTACAAGATTCCATTCTATTATAAAAAGTTTAAGTAATTAAAAATCGATTACAAATTTTATTGTCTATCTCCTGAGTTGCCATCCATCGTAGTTTTATATTAGAATATTCGAGAAAGTTTAGGGGAGATCACTCCCGGTTGTTGTTTTTTGCAAGATTACACGACATTCTATATATTTCCTATATACGAGAAAGTATAAATCAAGATTTTTATAAATCTCGACGTGTAATTGTAAAAATCAATTTCTTATGCACAATTTCATGAATTTTGAATAATTTATCATCAGGATTACACTTTGTAAAAAAAAATACAATAGTAGCTCTTTGTCAATATTAATTATTTTTTAAAATGTTGATAATTATTTTGTATTTACTTGTTTGATGCGAGTTACTTCCCATCTTAAACAATCAACATTTTTAAAACAAACATGGGATATAACAATTGTCACTATTACTAAATATGTCAATGTAGAAAGAAATATTTAACTAACAAGATTTAAAAAAAAAATATTGTTTACTATACTTATAAACATGAGTATTATAAAAGCACATCAATATATGCTCAATTTTTAAAAATAAATAGAATTGCTATTTACTGTTTGAGTTCATTTCAAAAGCTTAACCATTAACAATTAAAAAATAAAATGTTTTATTTAATCACTTGCTTATTTAAGTAATTACTGCAACCATCGCACATGCTAACACTATTCCGTATTCTTTCTTTCTCGAAAATGAAGTAATCGCAAAAAAAAAGGCCGATGCTAGCCGGAATAAGATACGCATGCGATACGCGTGCGTTTACAACCGCAGAACCCTAACACCAACCCTAATCCCATCCCCAATCCTATCCCCCAATCCTACCCCTAACCCTCATTCTAGCCCTAACCCTAGCCATAGGTCACTGCGCATGCGCAGAGCTATCTTTTGCCAACCAAGTGGAGACGTTGGGGAAAAAAATCTTCTTCCGAGTAGTCACTTCGAAAAAAAAAACCAACAATCGAGACTCATACAAATCTCGACGTTATATAA